AAATATTTTATCAGGCTCGGTAATAAAAAATATTTTAGAGAATTTTCATAATATTAGGAAGTATGATAGTTTTAGCGCGCATTAAATATATAAGTTGAAAGTACTATAGATTTTTGGTTAGATACCTGACAACTTCCAATATGATTAAGTAAAAATTGAGTGAATTTTTTAAAGTTTATTTTTGAATTATTTGTTTGACTAGAGTTTAAGAATAACATATTTTAGGATAGTTGGTAGATTGTAAGACAAACAAATAAAAACAATAATATTTGATTTTCAAATGTATTCTACATCTTATTATACATAATTTGTGTTAATGATTTTTCATGATTCTTGAAATCATGATATTTCAAACTTTTAACTACTTACTCAAATATAATTTAATTGACCCTTCATTACATGCTACCGTGTGCTATTTAGCATCTCACTAATTAACTATACAATACTTCATTCAAAACATTATCTCTCATTTAATGTTTAACAACGATTCAAATAATTATTGTTAACTCGTTACTATTTTTTATCCAATTAGTATTTTAAGTGTGTAATTTAATGAAAAATATTTTTATTTATGTATTAAAAACAAATATTTTAACATATATATTTATCAATATTTAATCAATGTTCATCTCATAAAAACCGTTAAATATTTATAACACGAATTAATTGATAATTTAAATGATTTGATTTTATTCAAACTCAGCTGAATATGATGGTTGTATACATCGTATACATTATACGTATATAGTATTATAGAAACAAATTAAATAATTATAATTTGTTTTACTAAAGTTACAAAGGATGACTAATCTATGACCACGAATGTCACACACGACTAATATTACTTTAAATATAAGTACCTAATAGGTACCAAAGTTACTGTAATTTGATTAACAATGGTTGTAAAGATAAAGGATAGTTTTTAATGTTAATTTATTTGTGTAAAGTTTATTAACCAATTCTGAATGATAGACAAACCTATACATCGTTATGCATTACTAAGGATTAAGCTATCTTTAGTAAGATTTTTAGTTTAATTTAATACATCATTATAATATTTGTATAGGTTTTAAGATGGTTTATTATGTTTAATTTGTATTGAAATAAAATAGTTTTAACATACCTACCATTGTACAAAATTAAAAATATCTGAATAGCTAGATATTATTTAATTAAATAATTCACGTACATTAAATTTACTCATGAGTGACAATGGATAAGGGGGTTCTAGAAATTTTACATAACACCATATAGCTGATTTAAGTTAAAATTTTAACAGTATTTATTTGATGTAACTTATTACTATATTAAAAAACATTAACTTAATGACACTTTTTTTTCATTATTAAATTAGTCAAAAAATAATAGTATTGAAATAATTATATTTTGTATTTTTTCTATTATTATTTAATTTGTCTAATCATCTTAATATAGGAGTATAACAATCAAATTTCAATCAAGAAATTAATAATTAGTTATAAGTATTTAAAGCTTATATTAGAGTAGTGACATGACGTGACACCTGTTACACTGACAAATTTTGCAAGTCTACCATTTCGCTCATCTAAACTTATAATATGAACTTATACTTTATGCATTAATTAACTAGATAAGTACACTTTAAAAATTCGATTTAAATACTTAAAAATATTCAAAAGTTTTCTATTTTGAAATATATGATAAAAAAATATGTTATCATTCAAAAAAGTTAAAATGTTTTAAAAATAATAGTTAAAATATTTTTATATTTATAATATTAAAATTATATTATTAAGTAAAAAAAAAAAAAATATTTTAAATGTTTTTAAAAACATAAATACTTTTCGATAATAAGTATTTATTGTTTAAAGGATCATTCAAAAAATTGCATCTCATAAATATTACCTAATTGTTTTATTTTTAATTTCCAACATTAAAGATTATTTTAAAATGTACATAGGTTACTTTTGGTGATTTATTTAATGGTTAGTATAATTTTTTTGCAATTTATTTAAGTATTGTAACGAACAGGGCGCGTGTCTGTCATTGTTTAAAGGTCCGACACTTTGCATTAATTTTACTCGTAATTTAGACAAGTCAATAAATTTAAATATTCAGTATTGATTGACAACTATAGTAATGTTAAATTAATAAATGGTATTAAAAAAGGTTTACTATCACCAACAAATAATGTGTGTATACATAAACTATATGAGCTATTGATATACTCGTAATTATTTAATTTTACTCAAAATCTAACATTTGTAGTATAAAAAACAATATATAAAAATTGAACAAATCATATACATTATTAAAACACATTAAAACGAAATAATAAACATTGTTGATAATACGTATTATGCTAGAATCATTAAGTTATAGTAGTTTGTTCTATTGTACAGGGCAATATTTATTATTGGTAAACCTTAATTTAAGATAATTATACTATGCAAACGAGTTTATATATATATATATATATATATAGAAATTATAACTATAATTTAAAGAAAAGATCGACAACAGTTAATGCCCAGAGTATATGTATCAGAAAAAAGAAGTTTAGCTGACAATGTACATAAACACTAATTTGGGTTTTATTAAAAGTGTTTGATTTTTTTTTTTTTCCAAACCTAATGTTTAATGACATTATTTCGGTGTTTACCGAAATCATATTAATGTTTATTAGAAAAATTCAATCTATTTATTATATATTAAAACAATTTATATTGATGGTAATATATGTTTTATTATTTAATTATGAAAAAATGTACAGTTAATTTGATTTTTTGTATAAATGTATTTTCTATGATGAAAATATAACATCGTGTCTTCTTAAATCATAAAAGACTTAATAATTGGCTAAATTTTACTTTAAAGAAGAAAAAGTCTTTATGCCTGTGTAATTTTCTTTATAATTTAATTTTTTAGAATTTTTATTAAATTGTATGGTATTTTTACCAATACTGACTATTTAAAACTTTCAATATAATATATTGTGTAATTATGAATTTTTAGTCCTATTATTAAGTTTTTGTACTTAAAAGTAAGTTTTTAAATAATTTAATAATAAAAGTGCCTAATAATAATAATAATAATATTTTAAAAAAGACAAGTGATTTGATCTATAATGAGTTATGATAGACCGCATTAGACTAATGAGTATAAAATCAGAAGTAAAGGTCTTGCCATAAATTATAAATATCAAAAACAGAGATTGAGTCAAACATTTATCACAAATGCTTTCACTGGTATTTAAAAGTAATCATTAATAATTGTATTTTTTTTAACCGACTCTTAATAAAACTTAAATATAATCAGCATTTTACTAAAGGTTTTTTTATGTGAGAAACTTACTTACATAACTTTTGTTGTCTTTTATTTAGGTGTCACGTTAACTTTTTTTAACTACCTACCTTAATTATTGTTGACATTTCAAATCTATAGATACCACTATGATTTTGTATGGACATTTTTCTTTAAAAAATTTTATTTTTTTTTTTCAACTGTCATTCATAAAATATATTAAGGTTTTATGCATAGAACTTGTAGTTATTGAAGATTCAAAATATTTTAAAAACGCTAATGGACAATATGTATTTATAATTAAGCTGATAAATGAACTTTGAATAAAAAATGTATTATTTTTAACTTCCATAATATACTCGTCTTTAGTCCATTGACAATGATTTAAACTTTCCATATAATAATGTTTCTTCATTAACTTGTTTAATTTTCAAAAGCTCATAAAATACCAATACCTTTGAAGTGCATATTTAGTTAGAAAGTAGTTAAATATAATATATTAGGATGATTTATTCAACGTTAAAGATATTTAATCAACATACCATTTTCTCTTTAATATAATTCTATAAGAGCTTAAGAATTTTCAAACATGAATTTCAGATTTTGTTTAATAAATATTGAAATAATAACTTACAATTCAATCATTGTACTTATCTATTTTAGTATAGTATTACATTTCAGTCGAGGCTAATTGTATTAAATTACTTAGATTTTTTTAATATTTATTTATGTTATTTAAGTATCAAAATATTAAAATGTAAATACAAATTTTAGCATCAAAATAATTTTAAGAAATTGAAATGTTATGTTATGTGTTTATAACCAGTTAAGAAATCCAAACCCAAATTATTCGCATTATTTTAACTCGATTTGAATAATCAATAATTAACCATCAAAATACTCGTATCATACAATTATGTTTATTTTTATGTACATTTACAAACGAAATATGAAACCCTAATAGATTTTTATCTGATATCAAATAAGTTTTCATAATTTCAATTTACTTAAAATTCAACATAAACTGCGTTACATGTATTATATTGTGTATTTTGATTTGTGCATTGAGATTAATGATGTACATTCCAAAATATTTAACATTGAAAATGTTTTCAACTTATTTCAAAAATACAATTAATAACTTATGATAATATTAACATTAAAGTATTACACTGACTTCTGTGTAAATTTATATCAAATATTTAATTTGTAATGAATTTTTTTTATATATAATATATACTTAATGACATAATATTACACTGCTAATTGTAAAATTGCAAAGTATCTTGAAATAATATAATTATTGTAATTATTACATCTTAAAAGTATCTCAACTATAATCTTTATAAATTAGTCTGTAAATTCGTAGACGATGTTACTATGTAAGTTTATTTATACCTATTACACCTAAGCTAACGATATTTTACCTCTAACCATAATCTAGTTAGTAAATATATCGTCTTCAATCAAAAACATCACGATTCATTAAGTCAACCTCAGTAACTTCGGTGTATAAATTATTAAACTTATGTTAACAAAAACCTAGTCTTGTAATATAAAATTATGATAATATGTTTATTTACTTGACACATAAAACCTATGTCAAAAACCGTACAGAAAAACTATCGCAATTTTTTATCAGTTAATTATTGTACGGGCCATAATTTAAAACGTTATAAATTATCAACCTTTTAAATGTTTATCTTTTTTACTTACAGGTCTTTGAGATGTGCACGCAACACATTGCATACCCACATGTTCACGTCGTTCGCTATCAATAACCTTTTATGGCTGCTGTGGTACAGGCTGGTCATTGAGCATCCGTCAGTCGTAGTTCACAACGGGGTATGTAAATTTCTGAGCCATTGTGCATACGTTTAACCTATGAAGCTGTGCGGAGTCTTTTTAACAAAATACCCACAGGGTTTTCAAACTGAGCACAATAACAATATTTTTCTTTCCTTCTTCATTTTATTTTCGAGTAGAAAGTATTATGCTGTCACAGATACGCTCTTATTACAACTACATGCAATATACTGTGTTATAATAACATGTTTTCGAAATAATAATTTCATATCAGATTTTTCCATCAGAAATGTGTTTATGTGTACAGTTCACAAGGCTGTAGCTTTACTCAATTTTACGTTTTTATCGCATTTAAATATTCCGAAAACGTTAAATGTTTTTTATTTTGTATTATTAACACACCATAAAGTTTTTCATCGATTGTACATAGTTAGTTTAAATATTCAAAGAGTATTTATTTTTCATATTGCATATTTATAACCGTTCAACATTTATTAGCCAAAATCACACGTTAAGGTGCTTATACTATCCTCCATTTTTTTTTTTTTTTTTTTTTTTTTTTTTAACATGAATAACTTCACATATAAATCAAGAATGAATACATCATCTTTAATAGCAACTTTATACCGCCGTCTATAAACTAAGTAATGATTAAATATTTTATTTACAGTCAGAACTACAAAATTAAAAATTATAATTTTGTATTTGTTATATCTATTATAATTTGTTGAAAATGAATTGACTAAACATTTAAATACTTATTATTCAAATATTCAAACTAATAAACAAGTTCTATATAAAATATAAGAAGTTATTATATAGATTATATTTTTGATAACTTTAAATTCTACAGTAATATTACAGTGCCAATAAGTTAAAAAACTTAAAAAATCATAAAATCATTTTTACAATTTCATATAGTTGAATACGAAATAGGTTTTACAAATACATCAATCATTGATGAAGAAGTTAATTGACGTATTTATCTAAGGTTTCCAATACAGTATTTTTGTATCATTTATTAAATGATAAGATAATTTTCCAAGTTTTTATCTATAATTTATTAGGTTACAAGTTTCAGTGTTAAATTCAAAAAATAAATCTTATTTGATCCCTCCTGATAACTAAACATGTTGTTATTTGCCCTATATGACAATAATTGCCTATTTTGTGTAATAAACTAATAAAAATTAATTTTAATTTTAAATCCATTTCTAGATTTTAAATGTATATTTTTCTTTCAATTCATGTAATTATCATCTAATTCTTTCTGTTAAGAGGACGTCACACAAGCATGTGTTGTCTCCGTCTTATACACGTACGACATAGTAAATTTTCCTTCACCAATTTAAATAGTGTGCTTTTAGTTTTGATATAAGAATAAATCGACCTATTATCAAACTTTTAGTTAAGAATATTATCTGTGTTCTCTTGTTGGTTTTTACGACATTTTAATTTTTAAGTGAATAATGAGCATTTTTATATATTTATATTTTTCATACTCATAACTCACTTAAAAATTAAAATATCGTAAAAAACCAATGAGAGAACATAAATATTGTTCTTACTTAAAATATTCATAATAAGTCAATTTACTTTAATATTAAAACTAAAAGAACTCTAAATATGTATGTATGATAAAATAAGATACAAATTTCTTGTAGATATTAAAGTATAATAATAATATACCAAACAACAAAATTCTCAATAAATGCATTGTTATTTAATGATTGTAGTTAGAATTGTTTAATTTATAAAATTAAGTTTCCATTAATTTTGAAAAATTATGTTTATTAATACGTTATTTAAACTATTTAAAATAAACATAAGCCAAAGAATTAATCATAAGTTTACGATTTAAACAACTATTTTAATAATGTTACTAAAGTATTAAAATGTATTTTCAAAATTTAAGAAACTTATTTTTAACTATATTTAATTATATTTATAAAGAGCTCATTTTATATTTATTACGTATAAAACTGAAGCTAAGATTTAGAAATCGTATATATTTTAAAATTTAAATTTGTTAGTAACTTAAAAAAAATCCAAACTCTATTTTCATCATTTAAAACATAAAAAATTTGAATAAATTTTTATTTTTTTTTATCAAAATATTCAAAACATTACATTTTATAGTATTCAATCGTAAGTAAAATATTTTTGTGTGAAAATATGAGATGTAATCTAGAATTTAAGTTTACTTGCTTAACATTGCTCAATTGTAATTTTTTTTATATAATTTAATTTCTAAGTATATTATATTAATTCATTAAAGAAATGAAAATATAAATTCAAAATTAAATTAAAGAGAAAAGTTATTTTTTAATATTTAATATAAGTATGAATAATAATAATATATGTTAATACCAATATAAAATTTACTTTAAATTAATAAATTTATTTCTATAAATATATAAAATAATAAGGTTTTTGATTACTTAGTACATTTTAGGATATTAATTAATTTTCTAAAAAAGTTTTCTACTGTAAAAAAAATACTTTTTATAACTATTATGGTGTTTAAATTATCAAACAGTTTTTAATTATATTTTTTTCCATTAGTAAGTATCTAAATATATAACAATACTACATTGATATATTTATAAATTTCACAAAAATATTTTTTCTAAGTAAAAATAACGTTTGTCAGGTGCCAGAACAAGCAGAACCCTTGACGCGTATCCTGACAAATGAGGAGACATTGGCTCGCCGTCTATTCCTTTATAATTTTTCAACTCCATTAGATTCCATTAGTTGATTATCAGTCACACTCCATTCAATAGGTCTTGACAAGTGAACTATAGTCAATAAATGTATTGTTCTATTGTTTTATTCAGCCACCATCTAATAAACCAACCAACAGACTTTGCACCAAAATATTATAAACGATTTAACTATTTATCTGATATATTCTTCAGTAAATAATAAATTCTATAATTCATCAATCTATTGACTTCACTATTATACACCAATATACGAGTTTTTTTTGTGTTAACAGATAAGTAATATGATGTAAATATTTATTTATTTTTATTATTTTTTATCTTGATTACTTTTTTTATTTATCTACAAGGTAACAGTTATAATTATTAACCCGACGTACTGGTTTTATCGGTTTGTTTTCAGAGCTTTTCAACGCTAAAAATCATTTAAAACGAATGGTTTATAATCAAGGATCTCTTAAATTTTATTAAAAAAAAAGAAAAACGAGATTCGTAAAATATTAAACCTGGAGGTTTGCAGTAGAAACATATTGACTCAATACGATCGTAAGCTTAAACTATAAAAAAAGGAAAAAACTATTCGTAAAAGTCAAACTTTTTTTTTGGCACACGTGGGATTTATATTTATTCAACTCTGTAATATTAGTACTCAAGCACTGAGACGTTAAGGAAATTATATTTCATTTTAATTATTTATTCATTTATCTTCATTAACTGTAATTGTGAAATAAACAAAATATATGGGTTAATATATGGTAAGTTTTTAATAATGTTTAAAAGTATTGATATCGTTTAATAAGTAATTTAATATAATTATTATATGTATCATGAACACAATAAACTATGGATAAAGTACTCTAATTTGATCAAATACGATTAATTAGAGGATTTGTAAAAGTAGAGTTGAGTATTAACATTTTTGGTCTTAACTAAGCTCTTCTAAAAATATAAAATATAAGGTTTCAAAAAATTTCCTTCAAAATCTAATAACTCATTATAAGTTATAAGTATAACTCATTCTCACTTATATGTAAGTTTCCACTAAAATATATGATTAAATTCGCTGAATAAATTAAATTAATCACGTTTAATAAATTTATAATAGGTTTAATATTCATTTAATTTTTTTTTAATTCGTAGTTAAATACATTTTCAATTATTTTTAATTTTTAAAATCATACTAAAAATAGAATATTACATTTAATAATGTATTACTTTACAATTTAATAGTTATAATATTTTTACAATTTTGATCTTAATTGTCTCATTTATCTCAAAAATCAAATCATTCTATACATTATTTATATTGGAACCTTCATTTTATTTACAATTTTTCAAATTTATTTATTTTTAAATACTATTATGTATCTAAAATACCTTAAAATTGTAAAAATTGTATTTGATGAGACTTTTAATGAAAATTTAAATATTATTTTGATAAAAATAAGGCATATAAAATAGATATTGGTGTATGTGTATTTGTGTACGAGTAACGGTGGGGGGTCGAAGTGTTGTGTATGGTGTATATCAATTCCTTAGTTTTAAAACACCTTATTTAGCTTATAAATAATAAAATGAAAACTCTGTTACTTATAAAACATTCGATATTGAGTAAATAGTATTTATTTTTATATTTGAATAATGTCTCGCTGTAGTCTGATTATTAAACTATTTAGAGAAATACTAACAAGTACCCCAGATTAATCATGAAAATAATAATATAATTAATCATCTGTAACATATTTAAATTTTAATCTGATGCTATTGGTATTATTTTAAATATGTTTTGTCAGTTCAAGCATAATACGTCTTTGTTGAGTGTTATACTACTAAAATTTAAATATACATCACTGACTGTTTTTAGAATTTGAGTGGAATGATAAATGTACTAATTTTACAATGATATGCTTTTATTTATTTTTTAATGAATTAGTACACGATAGGTTGTTGATTAAATGATACTTCTATTTTCAAGAATAGAGGCGGTTTTAAATATAAAATTAATACTTTAAATAGATTAAACTTAAAATATTCAGCACTTATTTTTATAATCGTAAAAAATTAAGGAAAAACGAAAATACTTATGCAAATCAAATCTTATTTGATGTAACTCAAAAAAAAAATAACGGTAGATATTTGGAATTTTTACCAATTAATGTTTTTATTATAGTTTATTTTTTTTTTACAAATAAATTTTTAAAATATTATAAATGTTTTTAAGGATTCTATCACATTTTATGAATGTCGATCAAAACTTATTTGCTAGGTCAAAATTCTTAATAACTTGATGACTAACTCCAAAAAATGTTTTTTCCTTATAGTTTCTTATATTTAAATTAAAACAGCTCAATTATTACGAATATATGTATATATAATATATACACATGAAAAATATAGCAACAAATAATTTATAATATATAAAAAAATTCAACTGATAATGTAATTATATTAAGATCAAAATCAAATTAAGAACCCAGTATATCCGAAAAATGTTAATAAATCAATAATAACAGATCTAAAGAGGAATTTAAACAACTTGAGAGTTCATTGAGATGATGTTGTAACAATATGAGGAAATGAAATTATTTTAAACGGGGATTGTGATGGGTAGTTAGCAAATATTAGAGTGAAGTCGCAAATAGCTTCATCAAATGTGGCAAATATAAAGAGGAGAGTTTTTTAAGGAAAGGTAAAATGCATGAGCAAGAAATAAATCGTGTTCTAATTTGTGTCACGAAAAACAAACGATACAAGATATAGATAGAGACTGTTTAGTCGGACGCAAATTCATCAAATTGAAAAAAATTACAAAATGTTTTGTAGTTAAAAATCTATAAAAAACTTTATTTTTGTACCGTAGTTTTACATATTTAATTCAAGATTTTTCATTGTAAGTATTTAATACTGCAACCATAAAATCTTAAAAGTATAAAAAGAAAATAATTTTTTAGACATTTTAAAATCTAATTTAGATGAATTAATGTATTTATTTAAATGATAAATAGCGATATTTTAATTATTTATATTATTATGAGTTCTACTATATGCAATTACACTTTTGTTTTATTTTAAAATATTACCTATTTAAAAGTATTATAACTCTTTTTACTGTATTACAATATTTACAGAAATATTTATTAGGTACATTTGGAGTTTTATAAGTTGATATAATACAGTATAAATGTATGTTATTTTAATAATTAAATACTATTATTTAATCGATGCAATATTTTCGGAAAAAATTTCATCAACCTACTACATAATACTAAAAGTAAAATAAATTATTTTAATGACTATAAAAAAAAAAAACTTTTCATTTTGGGCATAGGCTAAAAAACCGTTTCCGCTCAAAATCGTTTCTCGTGTATAAATATGTATCATTGAATTCAAATTTAACACAGTAGATTGCAGAACGGTATCTACTTACCTACCTTTTAAATCTAAATTTACCAATAGAAATTGAATGCGTTAGAATATATATATTAACAATATTGTATATGAATTTATATTTTCACAGTGGTGGTGTCAAATACTACACGTCGTCTTACACTATTTTTTACTAACCAACTACGCGTGGATGTTGGCTGAAGGTTTTTATTTGCACACTCTTCTTGTGTTCGCTTTTACGTCCGAAGATACTTTAGTTCGATGGTCTTGGACATTGGCTTGGTCTACGCCGCTGGTCGTCATTTCTTTGTACACATTACTACGAATTTCCAGCGCTCATACGTCCGAGTGAGTAAAAAATGTGATATGTATTTAAACTTTGAACACTTTTGTTTCGTAACACATTTATTTAATGTGATATTTTCATGATTATAATAATCACAAAAAGTACATATAGAATTATGGAAATTTCTTTCCAACCAAACGATACGAACAGCTTATTGATTTTTCGAAAAAATCTTAATAATATTATGTATTAAGACTGCATAATATAATATTGACATAAAAATTTACCATAATTTGTAATAAACAACTAAAGATTTTTCTTTATTTATATTTTGATGATTTTTCATTTTTATGTTTACAAATATAAATGTTTAATTCTAAAATTTGGTAGGTGCAAGGTCAAATAAACTAATACAATTTTTTTTTTTATTTAAAAAAAACAAATTTAAGTATTTATGAAGTAATTTTAAGTAAAATTGATTGAATAAAAAGTAATTTATATTTTTAGTCGAGCGACTAATAAGAATAATTAGAGTTAAGACCGTACACGGTAATTTGAGTTTTAATTATTAGTATAATATAGGGAGTCATGTCAATAATAGGTATCAACAATAGGTTAATCAGAGAGACTATTAAGTCAATAATATTCCAAAGCAAATAACCGAACTGGAATCAATTATAAAATATAAAAAAAAAGCACGATAAGATAAAACTGATTAATATAATCAATCGCGTAGACAGTGCAGTTGACACGGATAGAAGGTATTGTTTTAAAAAAAAAAGTTACCACGCAAGTACAGTGAACATTTTTCAATACATCGTATAACAATTAAAAGGAATCGGTAGGTACAATAAAAAAATATTATGTAAAATAACAAATTTAAAAATTTAAATTTCATGTTTTGTGAGTTTTAGTAATAAGCTAATAACTGTGTAAATAATTTTAACAAAAACACATTACCGTTTGAATTATATTAACTATTTAGCTGTGCTTTTAGTCGCTGCATTGTATCGTATTGTACTGACTTATCTTCATCTGCAGTATTGAGTAAATTCATAAAAAAAAAAAAAAATATTTAAACAACTTTGATTGAAAACAAATGTGTAAAGTTTAAATTAAATCGAAATAAGTTTATGAATGTAATTATACTATATAAGTGGTAGAAAAAGTTTAATAAGTATAACACAGCAATAATTCGAACATATTGAAAAAATGTATCAAATAGGTAAATAAAATGACATTTGTGTAGATTTATGCTCACAATATAGCCAATGCAGGTATATATATATATAATTCATTTATATAAAACTTGATTGACACCAATTTCCACAATTAGAATCAAGTGGAGAAATATTTACTACAATCATTAATTTATTTGAAGCTTATGAACAATATTAGACGTATCACTCGTTAAACATATAATTTTATACAGGTATCTAATTGATTACAGTCAAAGATAATTATTTCAATTTATTCGTATTTATTTAAATAAAGAGCATCAAATTTATTTCGAAAAAGCGTAAATTGTTTGGAGTATAAAATATACATTAAAGGTGAACATTCAGTGAACGATAAACTGTAAACAATCCAAAGTGGGTTAGAAATCAACTTAAATCGTTTTAACGGTTAATTTATTGCATATTGCCACCGATTTATTTCTATAGTGTTTTTAATATTTAAGTATCCCTATAAAATAATATAAATAAAAGATTGAAAATTGAGAATCATCAAAGGATTTTTCAATAGTCGTTTATAAAAATTAAAATAAATATAAAAAACCGGTTAATATAGTTAATTATACATAATTAATAACTTGAGCTGGTGAGAGTTAAAGCGCGGAAATCTAAAGAAAATACTTAATATTCAGTTAAATAATCTAAAAATTACCTTATGATATAAAGTAATTACATAAAAAAAAACACCAATATTATTTTCATTAGGTACGCACAGACAACATTTGATAAAGCAGAAATTGATTGTCAATGTTTTTCGCACTTAAACTTAAGTTAAAAAGCTATCTTTTTAATTGTAAATTTATTTTTATTGCAAACATCTATTTGGTCCTTCATAAAAATAAATTTTGAATAATGTCACTGTTAAACTGCAAATAAAGACTTAATGTGTTAAAAAATATATATATATAAACATTATAAACTAATATCAAATTAGAGGTAACTTTACTATTTGATCAATTATTAATATTTTCACTAACATCTTTTGAAATAATTTAATAAAATTACAATTAAACAAAATATAAATATTCCAACATTGTTTATTTTAGTAATTCGACTCTATAGTATAAAATAAAAATTTAAAAAGATTTGAACCTACGTAATGTAATTGTTAAATAAGTAAATTTATAAAATTATAATTTAAAAAAAAATCGCAACACTTTTATAAATTTGTAAATTTAATTTGGTTAACTATAAATTTTCAACAGTCCAACGACTGAATTATGAAAAATATTTTAATACCACATAATATATTTAAATCATGTTAATGTATATTACGAGTATGTTAGTAAAAAAAACAACTTGTATTAATGTTTATGAATTAGTTAAACGATTAAAAATAATTAGTTTTATATAAAACTTAATTTAATTGTTTAAATAGTAATAATAACAATTGTATTTTAATGCCATATTTTGTTAATTATGTGAGATTTACATTAAATAAATATAATATATCTTAAATCCATAACAGAATTATTGACCTATCACTTATAAATTGTTTGAACACAAATTAATAAAATATTATAGTTGGTCTTTTAAATATTATTTTAAGTAACTTTCAAGTAAGTTACGAAAATCATAGACATTTTAGATAAACTTCTAACTATTAAGTAAATAAGAAAATTATCTCTAGAATTTTTATATAAATTTATATTTTGCAACTGCAATTTTATATTTACTTAAGTCATATAGTATTTATTATATAATTATAAAATAAGAGCGATAATATTCACAAAGTTATTCTACGGTTTTTGAAAATTTAAGACTCGAAATTTTTAATTGAGTCATTATGCACTAGTTTAAAAGCTCTTCATAATTTTATAATAACTTCAATGATAATTATTTTAAAGACTTTTTTTTTATACTTTCATAGTTAATAAAATATTTTAATTATGTCTTAAACTACTTAGTATTTGATAGCCATTTAATTTTTGTTTAGTGATAATCAAATTAAAAAAAAAAAAAAACCAACAGAACTTTGGTTTCTTTATTTACAAGTACCTGGAATAATTTTTCCAATTAAATGGTTTATTGTTGGAGATAACTAATAAATTTATAATAACTTAACTATTATTCAATAATAGCTTTGTACTCAATAGTATCTAAAACTAATGTACAAACTTTAATTCATTAGCAAGTCGCTGTCACTCAAAAATCATTTATGGTTAGGATTTATGTCTATACTAATATAAACTCATGTGTATCATTAAAATTAAGTTAGATTTTATGCGATCAATATATTTTGTAATGATATCTATTCAAAAGGGTATTATATTATTATTTGTAATGTAATTTGATTTAACTTAATTATTTATTTCACATTTTTATGTTGATGCGTATTAGCAAAAACTTTAAATTGTGTGAAAACTTTTTTTTTAAATATTTATTTCAAACCTGAATTTAAGTAGAATTATTTTTTATCCTCGTGGTAAGTAAAACATAATATTTTTTTTTTCACATTTTAAAATGTTTTCTTTGTAAATAATGGGGTTTGATAAATTGATTATCTACTAGTTATTTTAGTCATCAATCTAATGAAAATAAAAACGTTTAATGTGGTTTTTTTTATAACGCTGATAACCAGCGAGAAGTTTTTCAGCAATAAATTTTAAATATTAACCGCCCTTATAGTTTGTGAATATAGTAATTTGATTTTATGATTTGTTTTTATGTCTGAAATTCGTATACTTACAGTTAATTTTCACAGTATTTTAATTGTCAAATATATAGTGTTTAAATTTTATTATGCCGATTTGTTATTGTCCAAAGAGTAATTAAATGAAGCGGTTTAAATTCAATTAGATATCGTTTCAGAAATTAAATTGAGGACTTCTTAATATGCACTTTTACTTACGTACTATAATTTGGAATTGTTTACTATTGCATAATGTATTTTATTTGGAAACCGATGGTTTTTATTTAATTAATGTGAATAATGTGATAATTATTTATATGTCTTTAAATAGACTTTGTTCCGAGTAACATTTATAGTGAATTTGAATTAAATTAAATATTTTAAGTAAATCTTTAAAGTTCATATAGTTCATTTTATATTATATACAAATAAGTTACGTGCAAATATAGTGGCAGAAAAATAATATTTTTAATTTTTAATCTATATCACATTTATATTCATTTCATTATATTCAACCATATTAATACATAATATTATTTCAATCAACTATCGCGGTACGTATATATTGTGTTCTATATTACGTTTATGAACGATAATAATCAATTCCAAATTTAATTTACGTAGTCATACGTAAAATAATTTCTGAGGTTAGGATTTGTTTTTTTTAATGATGTTATTTTCGGGTTGGGTATTTACGGATTTCACGATACCTATAAACATAATAACGATTAACCTAGGTATAATTTATACGTTATGCATATAGAACAACAGAGAAGACCGCATGCAGGTATATCCTGGTGATTACAATATTATTTGCAAAACAAAGATGATAACAACTCGAAGTCACATCCCGTGAATCATTGGTTTTATACAACGTATTATAATGTATGATATAATAATTTTACATATAAGTATAGAATAACAAAAAAACTTGTTTTTCATAATGGTTATTTGCTCGTTAATTTCGAACAGGCATTGTAAATGTTGTTTCTATAGTTAAGTATACAGTACCTTATTTCAAGGCCCTTGTTAACTTTATAATAAGTATACAATATAATATTATTTAACATAGTTTTTATCTTAGACTCATTGTATTATTACTTATTGGGATAGTGTTCATAAATAGAGACTGTATTTTTATTAGAAATACATTCTATGTAGGTATACACATTTTTACAAACATGCATACATATGTAAACATATAAATTAGTCTAGGAAAGTAATGCTTACCAAATATAATATTAGATTTTCTAACTACAAATAATTTTATGCCAAGCATTTTGGTATGAATTTTTCATTATTTAGGTCTGATATTTTGTATACATAACAGAAATAAAATTAAAATGTAATTATAAAATTGCATCGATAATTTTTAAATATAAACATTATAAACTAATATAATGTACGAAACGTTAAAATATATACATATAGGTAATACTACTTTAAATTATTTTTAAATTATCGTCAGAATAATTAAATAGTTGTAAAAAGAAAATAGCTTTATTATTTTTGTAACGATTACATTATTACATTCTATAAGTTTTTCAAAGAACACCTTTGCAAAAACAGCGCTTTTAGATTTTTTTCCTTAGATGGTCGAAAATTCTTTATATAATTTTGTTTATGAATTAAAGCAATATTAAGAAAATAAATTATTATTTCAAAGAACTACTATTGAACCTTGATTTTTAATCTTCAAAAGCGCTGTATGAAATTTAATAAGCACGACTTCTTTTGTCTATAAAAGTGATTGCAGAAAAAAGCGTTTATGTTAAATGATAATCATAAACAAAATAAAAAAAGGATAATTTAAATCATTTTATATTTTATACTAATTCATTTATTGCTTCGTTAAACTAAAAGATAACTATTTCAGTATCAAACCAATCTATTTTATTAATTAGCTTCTGTAAAATAGTTAAGTTTTTTTTTTTCGATATAATAATAACTCATTTTTATTGCACAATATAATATAGTTTTTAAAAAACTAATTTTCTTTCAATATATCAATTTTTAAATTAATAAATTTAATAATAATATAAGAAAAGAACATATTAAAGGAATGAATTTAATATTTATATTATCAATTACATAGGATATAGAAACAACTCAATAGTAACCACACAAATTCTTTACTTGAAAATTTCGTCTTGATTGTTGCAATATGATTGTGGTACTTTTAAAAAAAGGCAGATTTTAAGTTTCCTAAAAATTCAATAATTTACACACTCATAAAAGAAATGATAACAATATAAAATATCAAGGATTTTTAGTAAAATAGGAATTTTAAATATCTTTCATATATTAATTTTCAATTTTTAATTTAAATTCGTGTTTTACTGTTCATCACCTAATCATATAATTATAGTTGCATATTTTTGATATATTATATATTTAATTTTTAAGTTCATCTAAAAAAGTTTTAATTAAGTTTAAATAATACTATGTTATTACGATGTTGTTGTTGCGATAAATAAGTTTATAACGTAATATTTTTTGTTGATAAGTAATTTATATATTTTATTTAAGTCAATATTTTACTGCTGTTTTAAAATTTTTATTACATCATGGTTTTTAATCCTATTGTTATACCTAGGTACCTATCAAATTTTATGATTTTAATATTTTTTTTTTTTTTTTTTTTTAAATAACACGTTCGTTAAAAAATATAAGACGAGTTGATACAAGTTTACCTCTAAAAATAAACAACACTGTTTAGTTCAAAAATCCACATGGTTTTTATTCATAATAGTTTTTTATTCTCTCATAAATTATTTTTTAATACAGATTTATTAGAATTAGTATGTATTGTGTTATACAATGAACGGAAAATATTGTTTTAAGTATAAATATTTATATACATATATTTTCTATATTTTTATGGCAGATTTAATACATTTTTAAAGAATATTTAAAGGTTTTTTAGATCATAAAGTCTCTAGTTCTTCTTATTACTACTATCACTTACAGATGCTGGATAAACGAATCGCCATTTACGGAGGTGCTGGTCGTGCCCGTGTGCATGTCGATGGCGCTCAACCTGGTGTTCCTGTGCAACATTGTCCGCGTTTTGTGGGTAAAACTTCAGGCCGGCCCATCTCATCTGTCCAACAGCACACCATCACGAACACTACTGCAGGCATTTAGAGCTACACTTTTGTTATTACCACTGCTCGGGCTCCATTATCTACTCACACCATTCCGGCCACCCAAACAACATCCTTGGGAACCGTTTTATGAGGTAGTGTCTGCCACCACTTCATCATTCCAAGTGAGTGTATTTACGATTAATTTCGACTTATTATGGTAAAAATTAAAAAAAAAAAAAATAAAAATAAAAATAATACTTATAGAAATATCGAGTGAACATATTGATAAACTAAATCTAATAACATTTGTTCAGCCGATTTTTCCAAATCTCCGACACAGTATTATATAAAAAAGCCGAAAATTTATCTAGATATAATAATTATAATAAATAAATGTATTGGAATTTTATTTAGATGAAATAATAAATATGCACTACAACATTTATCTATATTAAAAAATAAGTCATTTAAAATTGCAACATTGTAAAATAGCATTTCTTCTGTGGATATAATAATAAAATATATAAGTTTCAATTTTTAAACTCGTCAATAGGTACATGTGTATTAAATACAACTACCCATCGGTGTTAACATAAAATAAACAAAAATATTTAAAAATACAATAGAATAAATAGGCTTAATTAATTAAAAGGATTAATTTTTATTAAGACAGATTTATGAAACAACACTTTCAAATATTGTTATCTAGATAATATTATACGATACTATTACTTCTGATATGCTTCATGACATATTTACTTCATAGTTAGGTAAGAACCTATGAATATTATATTTAACTGGAAATCTAAATAAATAATACCCCTCTTATTAATTGAGTTTATATTATTTATCTTAAATCAACTTTTCACCCAGCCTAATTGGATTATATTGTGTAATACTTACCTGTGTGAAAATAATAATTGTATAAAATGTAAATCGACCGAATAAATTAACAGTCTTGTATAAAAACTATTCTGAGACATTGACTTTGCTTTGCAGTTTGCACTACGATGGCTGAGATTTCACACCAATATAATATATTTTATTGGGTTTTCTAGTTTCATTATCTAACAGTGCAGTAAAATTTGAATATTTTGTGTGGATTTCAAGTCGACTGTAGGTAAATATAGTCAGAATAGTTAGTATAATATTATGTTTTATTATTGCCTAAAAAACGTGTTCTTAGAAAACGACCATAATCAATTATAGCAAACAAATTTTTCCTTCGCTCTACTCTTATTTTAAAACAAATACATTTTTACATTTTTCTATATTCATTGATTTTCAATATATACATATATATTTATGAGAATAATTTGAATGAGAGATAAAAATATAATAATTGTTGGATACAAAATTTTTACGAGCGAATCACACACAATATGAAATTGTATTAAACTCGTAACATTTCCCTTAATTTGGTCTGTATCTGTAACAACCTTTTTTTGTTATTATATTTTTTTTTTAAATTTATTTATGAATTTTTCAACATGAAGTCTAATTATTATCAACAAATACAAACTATCAAACATAATGTAAACATGTAAAGATTCTATTATTATGAATACTCTTTTATCTTAAACTAATAATTAATATACTATATCTAAATTTTAATTCCTGCGTATGAATCAATTTTATCTTCAAAGTAGTAATTTACCGTAGCATAGACTAATCATTATCTATGTTGAAAAAAAAAATTGTTTTTTCAGTTGGTTATATTATTTCCGTATATAAATCTCAGTTTAGGATAAACATATTTTATCTTAAATCTCAAAAATAAACTTATCGTTTCTTAGTGACATAGCATTTTTATAAAATCGATTAAAAACTTTGGAATACCAAACCAAAAGTTAACTAACGTTATAATATTAATATATTATTATGATATATTGGCATGACCACAGTCATTGTAATCATTTTATTTTTTAAATATAAATTTCTTATTATGTAATGATATAAGTAACCACAAAATATGGTTTTTTATTATTATAATGGTATCGTGACTTTAGCTACTTTACGAATATGATGGTAATACATCTATAGTAAATATTACATAAGTAGGTAAAACAATTAATATAACGCTTATAATAGTCCTTTAAAATATACGACTGACTTGGTGGAGTGTATCTACAAAAACAATGTAAATATGAGTTTATGAAAGCGGAAAAACATACAAAAAATTGTTTTTTAACGGAAAATTAATTTAAATAATAATAAAATAGCATAAACTCTCAAAGATGCAAATATAAATTGAAAATACCAAAATTTATAGAAAAAAATAACTCTTATATTATGTTATTGCCGCTAGCGTAATATTAAAAGTAATTTCATACCTCTCCAAAGACCTATTTAGCGGTCATTAAAAATATTAAAGGTGAAATAATCACAAGATATAAAAATATTTATGTCAAGGTTTTTTAAACAATATCCATTTGTCACGTTTAAAATCTACCTAAATAGTTTTATTAATTTTATTAATTGTAAGTCCAAGAAACATATTATTTAGTATATAAACTTAATATCATTATACATTTTCTTTATAAAATGTAATTATTTAATTTTTTGTACATTACAATAAATTAGGTTAACTATATTATTTTGCACTAAAATTAACGATTTTATCAAAATAAAAGTTTAACTTTCAAAATAGAAAATTTTAATCAAAATATAATAATGTACTTATTTAATATCAAACTTATAAAATTAGATATATTATTACAAACTTTTCTCATTTAAGTACGATAACAATACCATAAATAATTCAGTATATACTTTTTTAAATGAAAAATAAATACTGTTATACTTAACATGTATTATATCAATAAATAATTTTGAAAAATTTTTACCATAACTATTTATTTTATTTTTTATATTCTTTCTTGAAATTATTTCTCCAAAATATACTATTTCTCTAATATATTTAGTTAAATGCAATAATTTACTCAAAATACCTATAACATTTAATGTGTTTTTTCTTTTAATATCATACTAAAAAATAAAAATGCATTTTATAATATATATTTAGTATAAATAACATTAATTAAAAACAACCTTATTATGATAGAAATAACGTTGAACTATTTTAGTATTAGTTTGTGGTAAAAATTAAGTAAGTTTAAACATCTTGTTTCTAAATTACCGAAATTCAAATATACATATTCGGGTGGTTTTATTTATTGACGTTACTCTAGTTAAAATAAACAAAAAAAATCGTAAAGTAACAGTTAATATCCATACATTTAAGTCTTACCAACCCCCGTCAGAAAGGAAGAAAAAGAAGATTAATCACTAATACTTTAGAGTACCTATACCTTCTAGACAATTTATAACGGTCATATTGATTAATCGTGATAGCAAGAATAGTCTTTATCGGGTTTATTTTAATGAAAAAATATATTCATTCGATAAAACATAATTAAACCGAATATAAGTTCAGTGATACGAGCAAAAAAGGGTTAAAAGTGGTCAACCTTGTTTACCATCAATTTTTTTTTTTTTTGTGTTTTCTTTATTATTACAAATATTAGTGATATTATTAATAAAATTATAAGACAAGTAAAATATTATTTGTTAGAATTGATGGATTACAATAAAGTTACTAATTTGCAGTAAAAGTATTTGATATTTTAAATTATTTTTTATTACGTTTATATGCATAACAGTATATTATTATTTTTCAATGTAAATACAAAATAAAAACGTATTAAACTATTAATGTTTATTTTACTTTATAGTTGTAAATATATAAACACTGAATATACTCAATATAGTATACACTAAAAAAAAAAAAAAAAAACAATTATAAAATATATCAAAAGTAGTCACACACCAACAACTATTAAATATATACATTGTACAGTACTATAGTCTGTTATTTTTTAAAACATAAATATACATCAATAAATTAATTTTAAAATTGTTTTCATTACATTTAATTAATATAAATAATAATTTTATTTTTTATAAAATTGGGTAGTGTAAGGGTATACAGTAGGTAACCGGTGATTACTGAATACTGACAGTCGGACCTCAGTTGTTTGTAGACCGTAATTAAGTGATCATTACCCCTAATTGTACTCATAATTGCATTAAAATAATATTATCGAGTATGAATATTCTTTATGATAACTGCCAAAACAAAATAAATTAAATATGCAGCTGCCGTTATTTGTTACAATCCCTTCTTCAATAAGTCAATAAGAGCAAATTAATTGTTTTCAAACACCAATCAATATGTTTTAAACTATATTTAATATTTTAATACTTATAATTACCAAGTAATATTTTTTTATATAGATATAATATAATAGTATTATTAATAATTCACTTAATAACCATCCTAACTATTAAGTAGAATTATATGTTTAATGTGCTTATAAATTAAAATCTAGGATAGATTCTATGTAAAATGTAATGTTTAAATATATTTACTTATTATTAATAATTTGAGATATTTCAATAATAATTTTTGATTGAATTTAATCATTGCGTTGTAGCTAATTAACGTAGGTATTTACGTTGTTATTTTCCTAAGGGAATACGTTACAAGAAACATCACAGATACATAAAAAAAAAAACCTATAATATTAATATGAAATAATTATGCTTGATTATTACTGATTATTGATATATAAAATCTTACTATCATATTATACAGAATAACTAAAAATAAAACTATAACAATATAAAAAACTAGTTATTTTATACATTTTTAGGTTTGATAATTAATGATTTTTGTTTAGGATTAAAAAAGTTAAATTAAAATTAAATATGACATTTTTAAATAAAATATTAAGTACTTAATAAAATAAATATTTTTAAGCTGTAGTATATTGCATTATATTCTAAGAAATAAAAGATTTAACTAAATGGTTTTTATTCTAATCGGAGAAATAGTTTTTATGTATTTAAATAAAAAAAAAAAAAAATGTTAACTATTTTGATAAATTTATTTAATTTATATTTATGAGTTTCTTGTGAAAAAACATTTTTAATTTGAATAATTATATTATGATTAAAATATTTTATAGTATATAATATTATTATTCTTATTAGTAAATTCTTCAAAACACGATCCATTTACTTCATAAAAATACGTATGATTTATTAAAGTTCTAACTTAATTGTATTCATACAATATGTATTGGTAATGTTTAGCGGAATATACTCTTACATATAAAAATTTTGAATCAAGAATTGAAATATTGACACAATAGAGAATAAAAATAAAATGTTTATCATATTCTAATAATATATGTACGTATTTTTTTCTATAGTTATCAATGATTTATACAAAAATTACGATCAAGTGTATAGGAAATACTGTAATAGTGTATACATAGTGTATTTAAATACACAATACACGCTCAACATACATTTGAATATTTACCTGTAATATTTAATATTTATTTGTATTTTGTAGTTATATTTTTTTATTTTTTCTTAAATACTTTATAAGCATGATAAGTATGATATTTTTCTCACATTTTAAAACATTTTGTGTTTACAAAATATATTTATTTTTTTTTTTCAGGGACTTTGTGTAGCAACATTATTTTGCTTTCTAAACGGAGAGGTATGTAAATTTGACAATATTATATTATAAAACACGCAAAATCGAAAATAGTTTGAAAAACGATTCAAAGTAAAGAAATTACTAATATGAAAAACATTTTGTTTAAAAAAAAAAAGTTTTTTCTTTAAGAACACATGCTTATATAAAATGTTAAAGAAAGTTTTAACGTGTCACATTATTGTTGAACAGTGTGTTTTGTTGTGGATTAAATCTAATTTTACAAGGAATATTTCAAGTAAGAAAATAAGAATGATTTATTACAAAACATGCGTTCGTTTCGACCCGAATGAAATGTAATAAATATATATTCGAAGTACATAATACACGCCATAAACGCAGATTACACATCTTGGCGCTTGTACATTTTTAAATGCATATGTATTTCATTGTTTTGCATTATACATGAAGGTCATAAATCATAATCATAATCATTGATTTTATTTTAATGTTCGTGACTTCATATGTATAAATATTAGATATAGTAAAATATTTGTATAAACATTGGGAACTATTCACAATAATTCTTGTTGATCCGTATGCTATACTGTACAATATTTTTTTTACAATCATCACGATTCTTTCGTCCAAATACTATATCGTACTTAAGCCATTGATACGTTTTGATAAAACAACGAAATCAGAATTTTCCTCAAGGAAGTCCTTAGTGTTTATATAATATTATATTGTTGTTAAATATTATGATTTAAAATATAAATTATTACCGTATACAATTTATCACGTTTTGGATATAAATACTCAAGAATTGGATTGACGGTCAGAAGATGGTAGGGAGAGTGTCAGATTCGGGGGACCCCTTGATTGTACCTGTAGACATTTTCGAGGTCTCCAGGTCCACTTTAAATACAATGTCACGTCGTATGTTGATTTTTCTTCACAGGTTATAGCTCAAATCAAGAGACGGTGGCAATTCATGTTTTTCCGGACGAGAGCAAACTCGTACACAGCAACAACGGTCTCGGTACGTCAGGTTAGCTACTGTTTACTATTTGCACGTTGCACGCGCCACATAACCATTGCTACCTGTATAATTTGATACGCCGCGCGTCATCCAACGATCGCAAACGAAATTATGTATAATTTCTTAGGTCTCTAGCTTCTGCTCTGGTGGATATTTCATCGGTTTTTCCACGGTAACGGTTTTCAAATGTGACCTCTGACGAGTTCATAACGCAAATACCCAACCCCCGCCCCTATAACATTACGATGATTGACCAAATTACTTCCTGTCTACTGTGCATGAGATCTCGGGCAAATTTACCGACCCGCCTGCAGCTGTTAGCTTTCTCATCAGTTTTCGTTGACCATTTCACCGATGTTTTACAAGTATCATAATATTATTTACTCTGTGCCGGTCGATCATGAGTACTTTGGCATTTTTCCACCGATTCATTTCCGGTATCCGGTCTCACTGCACCGGACCACTGTAGTCAGTAACGTTCAAAATCGCTTACAGCAATTTAAAGCGACTAAATCGATATAGTTTTATTTTTCAACCCATACATATTATATTTACCTGCAACAATGCGTATATTTTTAGATTTTCAGGAACTTAATTAAATATGAATTTTACGATTTGGAACACTTCATGTTCGTCAATAATAGTATGGTGATTCGATCTATCATCAAAAACTCAACATATTTTTACGCATGCGAAAAAAAATATTAATCTTTACTAATCTTTTATACTCCAAATCGTTACTTGGAAAACAAGATAATATTTTAAAAGTATTTTCAATGTATTTAGTGGTTTTATAATAAACCTTGTGTGGTTATTTTATTCAATGAAAAGTTTTCTTACAATTTAATAAGAATAACAGCTTAAAACATATACGATACAAATGTATTCACTGATCAAAAAAAAAGTTTATCGTATGTGAACTTATGTCAATTTATAGTTTTGTACCGTATAATTTTTGTCAATACTATTAAACGAATATCACTACAAAGATACATTTTTAAATTAAAAAATAGATTTTCATAAAATATAAGTATTTAGTATATAATATTTTAACCTAGTTATGAAATCGTTCTTCTTGTCTATACTTATATATTTTAATATGTTTTTAAACCTATATGTGTATTTTGTAGGGTGTATTACAAACTATTATAGTATAATATTACGCAGCATACATATTGAATAAAAAATTACGTACACAAAATATGTATATTTTATTGGCTTGAAATTATCAGTGGTTGTTACTATTTATGGATACATATCTGTTTTTATTTTATATGAAAGTGGCTTCTTATAGATGGCAAGTACTAAAATTGCACGTGAAGATTATTTAAGATCGCTGTATGCGTTCAATGGTCGTGAAGTATTTTTGGTCGATAAGACCATGTTAAGATTACTGGCAAGGGCTTAAAAGTACCTGCATAATATATATACTTTGAATTATCTGAACCACGTCACAATACTTAAGTATTATTTTATTTTTTTTTTTTTTTTTTGATAACCATCATAATATAATGTAGGGATACTTTTAATAAATATTTACCTTATATAATGTAGTGTTTTGTTAGCATTCGATTTTCATATTCAATTTTAATATAACATTATGGTTTATAGTGAATTTGTTGAACTATTAATTTAATGATTTACGTTCTAAAGAATACGTATTATCAATATATATTTTACATATAATTTATCATCTAATTTATTTATTTTAAAATTATTTCTGAAATTTTTTTCATGATATGAATTTTGAAAAATATGCGTACGTACTATTTATAAACTTAAATATATATATATATATTTTTTTAAAATGGATTTTTTTACGCAACTTATGTTGAATAACATTTACTTGTAAAGTTTAAAAAGAAATAGTGGAAGTCTAACTTGTCATATTTTCTCATTAAGTGTATATCAATGTCTTGATTTATGTTCTTATTCTTTCAGGTTTTTATTTCTCATCTGCGTAGTTATTTTTATTAAGTGGTATTTCATGTTTTTGTTTTTTGACTCTATATTTGTCACATATTTTATATTTTTAATTTAATGGATAACTTTTTTTTTCATCATTTTACTTTGGTAATTTGTAGGTCTTACTCAAAATTTGTAACATGATTACTATATATTATTCTTTGCCCAATCAAAAATTTTTATTCGACGATTATACTACAGTTGGTGTTCCGAAAATCAGCAACTATTTTAAGTGACGTTGTGTATAATATAATAGATATTTTGCATTTTCATTTTTATACTATTTATATGGAGCTTGAAAAATCTCTCGTTATTGTGGTATGAAAGATTATATTATACTATTACACAAATAGTAATAGCTTTAGCCATCCATACACATAGATCGTTAAAAACTATATTTTTTTCGTTTAAAGCATTATATTTTTAAGTTATCATACTATATATTATTTTCAATTTTTTCTAATTTTATAAATTATTTAACTAAAAATATTTAAATATGTTAATTTTTTAAATATTTTCAAAGAATTTTAAAGATAATTAGAAAGTTTGCCAAAGTGCAACATGTGTTAAATTACGGTTAACTGTTCAACTTAAGTTAATGTAAATTTTCGTTAATAGGCTATAGCGTTTAAATACATAATTACTAGTTAGTAGCCGAAGATTTTAGAGTAATGTGATGTACAACATGTGTAAGCTATTAAATTCATTTTTACTTGCTTATAAATATAAATATAAATTTATTAAATATTACTTAGAAGTTACATTGTATGTTAGAAATGAAAATTTAAACCAATAAGGTAACTATGGAAATCATTATTATGAAACTATTGTAATTTTTTTTTAGTTTTTATATTACAATTAGTTTATTTGGCAGGTATTGTAAAATTCAATATAAATTATTTTTAACGTTCTTATTGTTTGTCACATTTTGTACGATAATTTCATATTTCTGTTGTAACACAATGATCTCATTGTATTTTTCAAGCTGACCAGTAAAACTTTTACGTAACATACCTGCGTACAAACATAATTTCTAAATATTTTTGGCACTACAATCTGCGCTAGATGTTTCCGTGTAATCATAGTATAAAACATACAATTTAAATATAAGCGGTTGGTCTACAAATAATAACAACAACAATTTAATTTTTTATTGAAATGCTCTTAGAATTGTTTTATAGAATTCGAATTATATACTATATAATAATATAAACTTTATTTAAAATGATTGAATAATTTTATTATTGCAATATGATCTCAGTAAGTTATCTCAGTATATCTTTTTTGTAAAGTAAATTATTTGTGATTCATATTAAAATATATGGTGTTAGTGTAAAAGTATTTAATTACCATTTAATGGACTTAAATTAATAGTTGTTTTAGTTTTTTTCAGCATTATACCTTTACTACGATTGCCCATTTTGCATAATTATCTATTGTAATAATATATTGTTGTGACTAGCTTGTGTTTATAAATAACGACATTTAATCAACGTGGTGATTAGTAAATAAACATGTTATCGGAAGATTTTAAAAGCCAACCGACACACACGATTAGTGAAATATACAATATATTATGTATAATAGAGGTTCACAATACTGAACACAGGCACATTGTTTAAAAAAAAAAAAATGTATAGATAGGTACTAGGTACAGCATGTTTTCAGGTATTAATAAATAAATCCAACAAGGCACAAGAATGTATTTTGTTGAATTGTTAAAAACAATACAATTTAAATAAACTATGATATGGTATCATTGACTGTAAAAGGTATACAATCAATTATCTAACAATTATCTTTATATATTTATTCAAGTAGATAGCATTTAAAATATAAATTGAGTATTATATCTTATCTTGACAAAATATTTTAACACCTTACCTCTCTAAAGTTATTTTCTTACTATAAACACAATCATTAAATAAATGTCAGCGTACTGTAAGTTGATTAATAGTTTAAATTGTACAATTTCAGAAAATGCATCGTCTATAATAAAACTTTTACCAAAACTATCTCACAATTCCAATTTCACTAGTAATTACTTTTGTAAAGCAATATCAGTAAAAGGAAAAATGTAGTTATTTTAAATTATTGGTTAAAACTAATTTTTGTACTTTATCTTTCCTGGATTTACTATCAACTTTATAAACAGATACTATAAAACATGTCAAAAAGAAACGATTGACAAATCACAAAACTAATCTTAAAATCAATAATAAAAATATATCCATTACTTCTGTTGCCTTTTTAACGCACTTTTTAATGACAATTATTCGTTTCATAATATTTAGAGCCTAGCATAAAAACTGAGAGTTATTATACTACATCTTGAGTTTTGAATTTAATTCGTCATTGAAGTCATTTTAATAGATGTGTTAAATTTGAATTTAATGAAAAATCATTGCGTAATATAAAAAACGATTTTAACAACAATAAAAAGAGACATTTAATATTTTAGCTTTTATTTTTAAGGATATTTTATAATTGATTTATGTTACTGTTGGTAATCTTTTTTGCTATTGATAAACTATTTTGTTCTAAAATCATTGTACAAATTAATTTGTTTAATTTTAAAATATAACATAATTTATCACTAATATTAAATTATACATCAATACCAACGTATAAAATAATATGAATAAGTTTATGGGATGAATAGCTATAAAATTATTTTGAATACTTTATAGATTACATTAAAAAATAATAACATATTTAAACGAAAAAAAGGATGACTATGATTAATATCTATTAAATTATTACAAATCATTTAAATACTCGATTCTAACAAAATTTGGACTTCAAACGTATATTAAACATTAATTTGTCCATACAATATTTTAACTCCAGCAACAATCATAATATTTATGAGAAATCTTGTTAGAAATTATTAAGCTTTTAAAGTATTAAATTCAAATATTTTATTCACTTTTGAATGCAAAAAAATTAGCAAAATGTCATGGTTATCATAAATGTTGACAAAATTTTAATCTCAAACTATTATATGAAAAATTGTCACTTTAATGTATTTTCAATATTTTGGA